ATTTTTAGGCACTGGCATTGTTCATGACATTAATGTAATCATAAATTAAAAAATAATATTTGCTACTAACCAGGGTAGAAATCAAGGCATCATCAAAGCCCCAGTTTTCTTTCACAAATTTCCGTTCTCTTGTCAGTGATGTGAGGAAGACTCTGGGATCATCAGAACTCAGGGAAAAGTTGGCGCCATCTTGGGCAAACCTGCAGCAATGCAAGTGGTGGTCAACATGTACATATTGTGTGAGTTGGTTTGAAGCAAATCGAATATGAATCCTTCCCGAAAGCTAGGACTCAATGTCTTTTTTACACTGTGCTGTACAACTCTATAATGACAATGGTTGACAATGACAACCCATGGCTGTTTGGATGTTGATTTTACATGGTGCACGTGTCTTGATTTTTAATCAACTCTTTGTGAAGATCAGAGCACAATTCAAGGGTGCGTTAGCCAATTTCTGCTTTTGTACGATTCGTGTTGAATTGAATAAATTGAAATTGAAAATGATATGAAGAAAATATTAGAAACACAGCAAATACTAGATACTCTATGTCTGAAGAAAACAGGCTTCTAGCATATTAGATGAATCTCTGCAAAGTGATTTTTCATGAATGGCAACCTTATTGGAAAAAATTAATATCATATCTCATTCAGTTTGTAATCTTCTTCAGGTTTTAATTAGCCTGTGTTCCACAATCTCTCACTGTGGTGGTTTATTTGCCCCCTCCCTGACTGATAAACATTCATTAAGCAGTTTAGTCAGGCTAGGTATTAATAATATAATGATAACTAGAAAGGCCAATATTTGCTTTGGAGCAAATACAGCGATGGGTTCACCACATTTTACGACATGGCAGGGAAAGAATGAGAAACACAAGGGAACAACAATGATTTACATTGATATAACTATAATATGAAGTAACATACAACTAAAACAACAGTTGGATAGCTATTCCCTACTTTATTGGTTAGGATTTTTAATTGCATAATGCAAACTGTTGATTTTCAAAAAAAAAAAACGTTCATGCCCCGCATTCCAATGCTGGAGCAGAAAAGCTTGAAATACCTACCAAAACACTTGAATAAAGACATACTGTCAGTATGGAAATGCACTGTGCAGGTGTTAATCAAGTTAAATCCCAACAGCCAATCAGCAAGAAGTATAGAGGAAAGCTGCATGCCTATTGGTTGATGCCCTGCATCCCATTGTGATGACTCATGCCCAGACGTGGTAAACACGGCACACTAACACAGTAATACATTTGCTATAACACAGCCAAAAAACTCAAATAAAACCATTCTAAAAGCCTGTATCACAAAAATTTAAAAAACGCCTAGGGGTATTTGCCCACTGTACCTCCATACCAAATTTCAGGACCTTAGGCCCTAAAATGAAGAAGCTGAATCCGTTTAAACTAGAAAGGCCAACATTTGCTTCGGAGCAAATGTAGGAATTTCACTCCATACCCTTCCCCAAACAAAAATGAGAGATTCTAAATAAATCATACTGCAATGATACAAGGACAAGCTGTTTGAATCTCGACAGGTATTTACAAAACTGGCACTTGGCAATTATCTCCTTTTTTTTTTTACAAAGATACAACGACACGCACTTTAAATCTCGACAGCTTTACTTTACACTTTTGACGAGATTGTAACTACTGCTAACGGAAGCAAAATTTTCACGGCCTGAGAAAAATGGACATGTTCACGGAAGTATATATTCACGGTGGTGACAGTTGCAGGAAAAAGAAAGTCCAGGAATTATTTCCTAACTGTAATGATAAGTTCACAATACAGAGGTGACAGTGAAAACCGTGAACATTGACCCCCCGCTTGCGTTGCGGTACAGTGAAAAAAAATCGGGAATTACAGCAATCAATTTACTGAGTATGTTTGCTTAGTTTCCAGATGTTTTGTACTTGTAGTTTTTAAATGAACGAAAACCGATGCGCGCACAGATGCTACTTTTGTGACAACATCAAAGTGATTTTGGTTTGTATGTTGAAAAAATACAAAAGACTAACATTCGAAGTTATTGAAATTCTTGAGTAAGAACAATCAGTTTTGGAATGTTAAAAGCAAAGCAATGGATATTAAAACGAAAATGTTAAAATTAAATGTTGAAATTGTTAAAATGTAAAATGGTTAAAATGGTTAAAATTGTTGAAATTGTTAAAAATGTTAAAATTGTTAAAAATTGTAAAAAGGATAATTAAAAATATCCAGTGTACCGGGGTTCGAACTCGTAATGTCTGGACTTGCAGCCCTGCGCGTTACCAACCGAGCTATCTGGACACGTTTCCATTACTCTCTGCATTGTATGTCATATAAAGTGAACAACATGGCGGTAACGATCGCTTCAAGTACTAGTAAGGGACTTTCTAGGAGATTTCCTTCTTTATCAGGTTCGCTTTTGAACCACCGGTACCTTGATGTAACGTAACTATCAATCCGGCTAGCAGAAGCCGCCGCTCCCTGTCCAATCTTTGAAAACTGTCGGGGCGTGCGCCGACGATACACATTACGTACCGTTGTTTACAGTACTCGCGGGGCGCAGGTCATTGACCTCCCGCTTGCGTTGTTCCAACAGAGAAGAGCAAAATATCTGCCAGTTTTTGCGTCAGATTTTCAGTGTTTGTTAAAATCATATACAGGCATCCATGCAGCTATAATTCTTCCAACTAGTTCGTAGTTAGGTGAAATGTTTATAGGAATCACACGAATCGGTATCCAGTATCAGAGTATCATGGCCCACGGCCGAGACCGCGTGGACCAGCCGCGCTGGTACGTGAAAATGGTAGTAAATAAATTAATTAGCCAACAGCCAATCAACAGCCACATCTGCAAACATGACCACACCTGCTTGTATGCCCATATTTGGGCCTTCCCCCGAATTCCTTTCTTATTACGTCACGCGCGTACGCCCCCACAGTACTTTCCTATGGGGACCACTAAAAAGCAAATAAAACGATTGTAAAAGCTTGTATCAAAAAAATTTAAAAACGCCTAAGGGTATTTACCCACTCTACCTCTATACGAAATTACAGGTAATTTACGCCCAAAAATGAAGGAGTTGAATCAATTTAAAGAAGTGGCAGGAGAAGGAGGAGAAGGAGGAGAAGGAGAAGAAACATCAGAAAAAGCAATATGGGTTCACCACCACTTCGTGGTGTGGTGAACCCATAATAAAATACATTATGTGTGATGATATAACGCACTGTAATAAAAGGACAGCCTTTGAATCAAGTCCAAAATGCTCATATTTTAGCCCCAACAGTTAAAGGAAGTTTTCTTCAGAGTTGTTACAGTTTTTTCCATCTATTAATGCAGTGATGTGAGTAAAGGTTTGGAATTCAGCATTTAAATTACAGACCAGCCTGGTATATATAATATGTTGACTTCATGGGCTCCTATATAACATTTGGGGCTATCATACAATGTACATGTAAGATGCCTAGGTCTTTTTGTATAGAAAGTTTTTTTTTTCACCATAATTTTTTTGTCACCTTTTCTAAAAAAAATCCAACGAATCAAAGTGGCGATAAACTGTCTATTAGTCTATAAGACTGCTGTTTGTGGCTGATTTGAATTTTTGATACTGATACTCAACAGTTTATTCACATTGATTGGCAGCCATATGCATTGTTGGCTGAATTACACAAGTGATTATATAATAAAAATCTTGAAAGAGACACACATTAAAAAATATGACATTGACAATTGAAATTAAAAAGATGTCATTGCAGGAGATACCTCTTGGCTGGATGTTGTTTGAAGTCTGTCTGTACAGCACCTGTCATGTAGCTGGACACAGGACACACCTGTACATACACAGTCATAGAAATCACTCAGCACATGTCTACTTCAACACAAGTACCAACAATAATTCAAACGTTTATTGCAAATCCATGCCCAAAGGCTAATTGTAAGTTACAAACATAAATTTAAAGAACTCTGAAACAGAGCATAAAATAACTTCAAAATGTACATAATGAAATCTAATTGTCTAAAACTATGTCTGAAGGGTTTGACTTCTCTTCTGTAAACCATGGAAGACGTAATGTCCCACCTTTTCTAAGATTTGTGAGTTTTGGGGAGTTGAAAAATAGTAGTTTTTTGTTTATCTGTAAGCTTTGGGAAATTGGAATAAATTGTAGAAGTCTGAATAGTCAACTCATTTCGAGCATTGTCATGTAACGAACAGTTTGAGATAAAATGTATTTCGTCTTCCACAGCCTTTGCACTACAATATTTACAAATTGTTTCTAATAATAAATGACTGTTACAGTAATGTAACTCTACAATAAAAGTGCATGTGTGAGTAACTGACATAATTATAAATTAACTGTTTGCGCTATGAGTAAGTTGGTGTAGTTTTCTCTGAGATTACTGGATAGGTTCTACATGCATATGCTTGTGATCTGCAATTTTTGTACCTACTTACCATTAAGTTATCTTATATTAACTTGCTCCTTTATTGTACTTATTATGTTTGTTCATTAATTCAGCACCTACTTTTTTTTATATTTACTATTATATTTTATATTTATATATATTTTGAATTTGTAAGTCATGTAGAGGTGCACATTATAATATATGTGTGTATGGAAACTGTGGCATCATTTACATCACAAACTATTAGGTAGAGAAAATGTTTATGAAGGTATTGGGTTGTGGATCTCTTGTTTAAATTTTTTTTATTGTAATTCAAAACTTCAAAGGAGAATGCTGTGGAGCTGAACATTCAATAATTCTTTAGGCCAAAGACTTTACAACAAAACCATACAAATTAACAATTACCTCAAAATGCATGCCTTCCTTCTTGAGACGTTGGTATAAGTCCTCATCATCCAAGACATGATATCCATGGCCTATACGCTCTGCATGCATCTCTGTCACTGCCTAGAAAATTAACACATACCAAACTTATGTTGGTTTCAGCATAAATATTATTACACATTTTGTACAAGCTTTGCTATAGCACATTGATTGATCAAACTTTGGTTACCAATATGTATATATATGTATGTACATGCTGTAGTATATAACAAAATTTCATACTCTAAAGGACAGCTGTGTCTCACAGCAGAACAGGATCCAATGTTGCCATTGCCAATAAGATTTCTGTTTTTGGATTGTGAGTTGATTTTGTTTGTGACCTTTCAAGTCCCACAAGCTATTAAACTTACAGTCATGAGGATGTTGTGGGTGTGTGTATTAGGAATCATAGAAACACAGTCTGCAACTTTACCTCCTCAACTATTTCTGGCCCTCCGACCTCCCCTGCATGAATTGTTCGATGGACTCCAAGCCTTTGGGCATCCTGAAAACAAACAGAAACCTTATCAGAAGAACAATAAAAGAGTTACCCAAAAATTGACTTTGACAGAAGAATTGTGCCAATTCAAAGTACAGTGTACATGTAAGACTACAAAAGAAAATAAAAAAACAAAATATTTGTATATGCATGCTGCTATTTTTTCAAAATATTTCCTGTCAACCCTTGTACAAATGTACAGGCAGTCAGCATGAGCTGGAAGGAAGCCTTGAGGCTGGCTGCTGACAGAGGAAGCTGGGCTGCTTTGACTGCCTCATGCGTCACGAGACGCGGGAGCCCCTAAGTCTAAGTCTAAGTCTTGTACAAATGTACCTGTACAAATTGTTAATGACAGATTGTGTTACCTGGAAGGCCTTGATATGAGGTAGGTTTGCATCTTCTTTGTATCCAACCTTCCCTCCTGCCAGGTCCAGCCCCACCACACCATCACTGCTGTACTTCCCACATAGTTCCACCATCTCATGGGACCACTCTGGACAAAAACATAGTGTCATTTAAAGACCTCATTACTCTGTGAAGAAGGTCAGGACCTCCGGACGGAGTGTTGTGATCGGCTGATTTTTCATGTTCGCAGTCAAAACACTGGGTTCTCTTTGTGTAATCGGCACGCAATTTTATACGCCGTCTGCGGACATGCCCGTGTTGATGCACGAATGTGTATTTTAGCCGTTGCTGCTTTCGCGGTCAATGTAATATTGCAGACGCACCCCTACAATTACGAGGCGAATTGGAATGGTCCAGAAAAACGCGTTGTTTGGAATAGCAGTGGGGGGGGTGGAACTTCATGCAGATACGGGGTGGTTTTGATAAGTGGTTCCAGATGTTTTTGCCCATGCTTAAGAGATGCCAAGTTTTTTGGAAGATGTTCGCAGCCAAAACGCATTCTTCCGTACGTCGCATTTCTGTGTAATTTCGCATGTGGTGTGGCATTATGTCCGGGATGATGCACGTCTTTTTATTTTTACCGTAGCTGTTTTGATATTGAAGTAAATGCATATTTTAGAAACATCCCTACTTTAACAATCCTGTTTAATAGGCCGTAGGTTTAGGCAGTTGTCTGGTAGCAGAGGTACTCTAAAGCAGATATCCTGGTTATCTGGCCGGCGGTAGTAACACTCGTGGTGCTTACCGCAACTGTTGCTGGAATTTGGCCTGTTCCAGGCGCTCTTAATTAGGTACAGGCACGGTAAGACGGTGGGACTGTCTTTGTTACTAGACACGACCATGATAGTCCGATCTTTATGTGAATACAATGATTGTGTGTGTGTAATTAAAATGAACTTCGAACTTGAAGCACAGTATCTTTACACGCCCTGGGAGCAGTAATGGATTTAGCTCTTTGTATGTTTTATGCTTGTTACGCGCCCTCATTGTATTAACCGTTGCCTTATTATAATGTCTGCACAGTAGGTCTGGCGTTGACGCTTGGGATTTTGTTGAAATATATAAAACTTTACGGAGGATTGTTACCTATGGCTTCTTGTTTTAAAAGTTCATCTCTGTTGATAGAAGTCATTATAAAGCAAGCGTAAGACCCCGTTCATACCAGACTTTCAAAAACCTGTTGAAACCGCTAAATAATTAGCAAAGGAGAACCCGGCTAAAACCTCTAGCGTTCATACCAGCCTTTTCATGACCAATTTTGTTAAAATCCTGTCTGGTGAATATCCAATTAATCGGCCATGATTGCAGTTTGAATAACTGTTCCTCCCGCTCTTCTGATTGTTGTCCTTGGCCTTCTTGTATGCTATCTACAGGTCTTCGTCTTATCTTACTTCAAAACCATAATTGCTGTGTGCCCAATATGGCAGCTGTCCGTATAGTGACCAGCCCCTCTAGATCTAACTCTGACCTGACACTAGTCTTCCTACATAATGTACATTGTAACTCAACACCACATGGTGTCTGCTACAGCATGCACACCAGTTACCATGGTGACAGCCATCTGGCCCGAAATATTGACCTAATTTGTTTGGAACAGAAGAAGAAACAGAGCAGAAGGACAACATAAATACATCTTGATATGTACTCAGCTGTCAATTACAAAACAAGGAAAATCTCCACCTGGATGTTCCCTGATGGCACACAGCAGACTTCTGGCTTGTATGTTATAGTCCTTACTCCCCTGCTGCAGGCCTGCATTGACAAGCTCCACAACCTCAGCTGCAGTTGGGTCATCTCCACTCTCACCTACAGCAATGGATACAACCAAAATATTGATTGTCATGACTAAGTCTTTCTTTAAACAAAGCACCATTATGTGAACTAATTATTGCTTAAGTTTTGTACAATAAAGTTTTAGATGTGTGCATGAAAACTTGATGTACATGTATCTGGTATCCCTATGCTAACAGTGCATGTAGCACAGAGAGTTCAGGACAGACTGGATGCAGGACAGAGAGTGCATGCAGAAAAGAGACTACATGTGCGACAGAGAGTAGGACAGAGTGCATGTAGGACAGAGTGCATGTAGGACAGAGTGCATGTAGGACAGAGTGCATGTAGGACAGAACTTGCATGTAGCTATAGGACAGAGTGCATGTAGCTATAGGACAGAGTGCATGTAGGACAGAGTGCATGTAGGACAGAGTGCATGTAGGACAGAACTTGCATGTAGCTATTCTAAGGACAGAGTGCATGTAGCTATAGGACAGAGTGCATGTAGGACACTGTGCATGTAGGACAAAGTTGTGGTACAGAGAATCCATGTAGGATTGAGAGTGCATGTATTTATCCCAGCAGCAATTCAAATATATCTCATCATGCCACTTTTCTTAGAATCCCTACTCACCTGTGAGATTACTTGTGAGTAGATGTGGGCAGTAACGTGCTTCAAAGTACACAACCCCCTGTTGAGCCTGGTCCTCACATAACTCATACGCTATCCTCCGAATAGCCGCATGGTCACCACTAGGTAGTGATGGAAAGACCTTTCATTTTATCTCACATGACCATTTCACCTTGACCAAAATAATTCATCTACACAATGTCATGAACCTGACAGATGTACCATTATATACAATGTAGAGGAACCAGTTATCATCTGGTTTTATTGAAAATCCTGTTAATCTGAGGGCATTACATTAGCCATGGGAAAAAGATATTCATTTTTTTATAAGAAACTGTGAAAGGTAAAAACATTCTTGTTGAAGATAAACTGTGAGGCAAGCATCAGATCTGCTTTCTAAGCCATTCAGCCTGCATGTAGATCTACATCATGTATATATAGATGTACATGCAAAGCGTAAATGCTGCAGATACATTATGAAGTGCTGAATGGCTGAGACAAAAATGCTGACCTGAGGACTGGTATTAGGGTGTGAAATGCGTGGAACATGTCGTCGATGTGGCCTGGGTTGTTCATGCTCACATGTGGCACCAAGTCATCTACTGTGTCTGCCGGCAAGGACAAGCCACGACGCCTGCAAATAAAATACTTCTTTATCATCATCATCATCACCACCACATTTCAGTGCATGGCACTGAGATAAAACTAGTACATATACTAGTACATGTACAAGAGCGTCGGCAGAATGTACTGCGCATGCGCAAAAGCCCCATCTTTCATGGTTTTCGTTGGATTTTTGGTCAACGTTGCATCAGCATTTTGCCTGTTGCAGAGTATATCTTTTAGGCCACACCAATTTAATTTCTTGGTTAACGGATTTTTCTAGAAAAATAATGGAGCGGGCGGGCGAAAAAAAAATTAAAATAAAAACAGGCCTAGGCATCCTATTATGGCCCAAAATGGTACGATAGGAGCCATGAAGTCAACACACCAGGCTGGTTCAAAATTTAAACAATGAATTTTGAACTTTTAATGAAACTACTGCATTGAAAGATGGAATGACTGTAACAAGTAGTAAGAAAATGACTGTTTTAAACTGTTCAGGGCAAAATATGGGCACTTTGCAGTTGATTCTGAATTTTTATTTTTATTTGCAAATCAGAAAAAAATGAAGCGGCGAATCCGTTAACCAAGAAATTAAATTGGTGTGGCGTTACAACACAATATTTGGAAACTACAGATGGATTATTAACCTTATATGCATGAATACGACCTTATATGAGACATTCTGCAGAAGTGCTATATAATGCACAATACATTACAGGTTTTACGCAGGTGCAGAATGTTCTGCGGACGTTTTACTAGTACATATCACACACAGATCAAATTTCTTTTATCTATTGTGAAGTGAATGCTGAACAAACAAAGAATATTCGACAAATGTGTTCATGTCAAATGGCAATTTCAAACAAATATTGCAATTTTATTTAATATGCATATCTGTGAGGAGGATGGACCATAACTTACCTGGCAACTTCCAGGAGTGTCTCCGTTCGAACTGCTCCATCCAGGTGAAGGTGAAGCTCAACCTACAAAGATAATTATACAAATATAACTTTTATGTCGAATGATATGAATTTGCTTCTTTACAATTCACCATGCAGGCCACTAGTATTGTTGTTCACAACACCAACCATAGAATAAGTATCTTGATCCATTTATTTCCACTAAATACTTGTAGATTTCTTGTCAATACGCTATATGCTATACCATACCATGTGCATGTAATTATAAGAGGGCACAACTGCATAGGAGTCTTAATATTTGTAGGGCGCATAAATAGTAGTAACTGAGTAGCCCGGCATAATAGCCATCCCAGGAAGACAGGCCAAAAAAGAGCTACACAGCTTCAAGCCTTTTAAGTAGACCTGAGCGATAGCCAACTCAGGTAGACAGGACATTGTACGCCCTGGAGCCAAAAAATTAGCCTGTGTAGGCCCTGAGTCTGACACACTAGCTAGTACATACCCTAGCTATATGAAAGTGTTCACAGAAAATAGAACCTTTAAAAGAGAAGTTACCCACAGAAAACGTAAGTTTAATCCACGGAAAATGAAAGTACCAACAGAAAAGGGAAGTTACCCACAGAAAACGAAAGTTACCCACAGAAAATGAAAGTATCCACAGAAAGGTGAAGTTACCTACAGAAAATGAAAGTAACCCACAGAAATTAAAAGTTACCCACAAAAATGGAAGTTACCCACAAAAATGGAAGTTACCCACACAAAATGTAACGTTAAGTACCTACAGAAAATGAAAGGAATGTTCAACTTGACGTTAACGTTATCCACAGAAATGTTATGTACTAATGAATACAAAATTCCATCGCCCCTGAGGCGTCGCCAATAAGACTAGAGTGTCCCTGTCGGCCACGGTACAGTGGCACAGTGGTTTCGAGCTGATGAGACTGTTGGAACGTGCCAAATGTGTGTGAACTTCGCAGATCTTCACGATGCTGTGTTTCATAGTGTTACTGTTGCCAGCTCACTATCGAGACCATCCGGATGTGGAGGCCGGGCGGGTAACTATGTTGCAATGTTCACTAACAGTAACATACATAAACGTTACAAACATTGATGGCACGATTTGTTGAGTAGAGTAGCGTAGATTTGACTTACCCACTTCTTACTGGGATCAAATTCAGCCATGCTGGAACTTGGAAGTATTCCTTGTTGGGTATTCTTGCGTTGGACTTTGCTCCGCGGGGGCGTTGTTTCGCCAGCACGTTGTTGTTTGGCCACAAAGTACTGTCAAAGGTCATATAGGTACGGGTTTGTGGAAAAGGCGATCCCGTCCAGAAGACGGAAAAAGCGAACCAGACCGAGGGTCGGGGGGAAAATCGGGCCGACTAAGTTATGCCCCCTCGTAGAGCCCGGGAGAATTGCAAGCAGTCTGATGTGAACATGAAGCGCGCTGATATGGGAGACTGCATGTGTCAAATGTCTCTCAGGAACATCATCATCATCATCATCATCGAACAAAGACAGGACCATGTAATGCAGTAACGTTACATGCAGGCTATGCTGTGGTGGTGCCGTCATATTAACTTTGGTAAATTGATAGCAACGTTGTTAGATATCAAGTTTTGTTTCTAGATATGATTTTTTTAAAATGTAGGCCATAGGTCCGCACTAGTATGGCCTCCTGGCGGCTTTTATTGCACTACTCAAGATCAATTTATTTCCCCCTTTTTTTAATGGTAACGTTAGCGTTACATATATTCGCACTCTTCCTGTCGTTAGGGATTCCAACAGTGTTTAACAAAAAGTTTTAAAAAGTATCGGTGTGATTTCCCTAGCCCCGATGTCATTATGCGGAACCTTGGTGGTATATGGTCTGGTCTGGATGCTTTGAATGGATTAAGATCTTTGGAATTTTTTTCGACACCATCAGTAGAAACCAATGTTTCATGGGAGGGGTACAGGGCTAGCTAGGGCATATCTGTGGTGTCTTCTGTGAACTTGCTGTGAATTGATTAAGTTGAAAAGACTAGAATACATTAGACGTTTATATATACATGTAACAGTTACTAGTATATGTATTTGTGTATGTATATTATTGTAATGATGTGACCTGTGCTTAACCCAGTGGGGCAAAAATGTACAAGAAAGCATTAAAGGTCTTCATTCATTCATTCATTCATTCATTCATTCATTCATTCATTCATTCATTCATTCATTCATTCATTCATTCATTCATTCATTCATTCATTCATTCATTCAATCCTGCCCATGTCACCGATCTTGTGCCATTGGGAAAGGCACTTTACACGACTTTCCTCACTTCACTCAGGTGGAAATGAGTACCTAGCCTCACTTAGGGACGTCGCTCGGATAGGACGTTAAATGTAGGTCCCGTGTTTGGAGAGCCACACCCCGCGCACGTTAAAGAACCCACCACACTTATCGAAAAGAGTAGGGGAACTTCCCGGTGTGAGTGGTTCAAACCTTACAGTCCGGTCTTACGCAGCTTGTACATGTGCGTACATGTACAAAACTGGTGTCTTACATCTGGTTCAGATGTCCAGATGTTCTAGATTTTCGTTTGACGTAACAACAGTTTTCATGATGTGACGGCCTTGGGGTGCCCGGTGGAATGACGAGCACGCGTTAACACTTATACATGATCCTATCACTGGTACTGAACATATTCAAATAACCCTAGCCCTATCTGTGACGTAAACTTAAGAGACCGACAAAACAGCATTCCCATCATATGGCCTTTATTATTGTGCTTCTGTAATTTAAAAACCCCAAAAGCCTTTGGATATCAGGTGCTTCTTTTTATACAACCGTGATAGATTCTCACCTGCTTACGTACGTTTCGATGCTCGTCAGACATCTTTCCTAGAGCTTCTGGAGTACTGAAAATATTTTCGGAAACCAAAGAGCCATTTTCTACGCAACTCAGACCTGTTCGGTGCATATCAGATGAGCTAAAATTTCAGTTGCCAAGCAATAGAACTACAAGGAACGGAACATGTCCATGTTTCATTTCAATTGTGCAGACATAACAGTAAGTGGCATTTTCTCAACACCTTCTATCATTGATTGATTCAGAGGTGTCAATTTAAGTCCTGACACAATGTCTTAGAAATTTTTCGTATATGAAAACTGTTTAACTTTACTGAAGAAAGGATATTGTTGTTTTCGTTAACACAACCGTTATAGACTCTCACCTGCTTAGTAATAATACATTTCGATGTCTGTCAGACACCTTCCTCTGACTGGAGTACTGCTTCTCGTCGCTACATGTAGCCAATGTAGGTGAGGCTTTTGCGACGAGAGCACAATCCCAAACCTGACTAAGTATGTATCCCCCCGTGCCGGTTCATTACCGGTTTGACTTTCTTATCGATACCGCCTCTTCGATCCAACGGATTCGTCTGTTATCCTGTCTGTCTATTGCCTTGGCGCCCCCCTAGTCTATTGCACAGTTCAGTGTTTCTAGCGGTCTGTCACTGTTGATTTCTTCTCTTTTTTTACACAAAGCTAGCCGCGTCTGGGATTGTCTTGTCGTCACAAAAGTTTTTTTTTTATTCACAACCCTTTGTTTTGCATGAGCCGACGTTTCGATGACCGTCTGTCATTGTGGCATAATTGATGAACAATTGTGACACTATGTTGTTTGTCACAATTGTTTTATGCTTGGGACTGCATTGGTGCAGTAACATCTAGCTTCAGTGCACAATGACAAGTAGTGCAACACGTAGCTCCATTACACAGTAAACCAGTCATATTGGCCCTGATGACGATGACAGACGGTCATCAAAACGTCGGATCATGTAAACCAAATGGTTGTGAACAGGTAAGCTTTACTAACCTTATATTCTATGTTTTTCCAATGCCATTGTCACACTTGCATCGCGTACACTAGAACAGCCTCACACGCATTCAAGAAGTCGCCAATTCAGCCATTTTGGCTGCCACAGACTTTTATTTGTTTATGTGTTTATATATATGAATAAACCAGTCATCATCATCATGGATGTACTTGTGCACCTGTTTGTATCAATTTACATAGATATTCCCTAGGGTAAACGTGTCTTTGCCTTGTGAGACCATTCCCTACTTGTTTATGTAAGCTTGGCTTGAAATATCTTCTACAGTTGAGCTTACAAATATGGGCTTCTTCAAGACTTTTCAGCAGAAATTGCTTTTTTTTCACACAACCTTTACCTGACAGCATTTTCACTAAACTAGTCCGCAAACTTCAGCACATTCTTTGTAATGTAATTATACATTATAGTTTTTCGCCATATACGCCTTTTGTAGTAGAGGGTTTGTAAGATCTAGGACGAATTATGCGACAAGATCGATTGAAGCACTTCTTCCACATAGCTCATTGTGGTGGCCTCTATCACGACCTGTGGGACAGCTACAGGCTTGTCCTCTGTGATGTCATGGCCCTGGATGACAGCCTGAGCGAAAAAATATAAAAGGTCGCAAAGTTACCTTTGCTTTTACGTAAATTAAGCAAAGCTCATTTATACTACCTTATATTTATCACAACCAACTCATATGTAGTATCATGGCATTGATTTACAGCCATGACAACTAAAATCCATTATACATTCGTGCAATTAGGATTTGATTAGCAAATGTGGACTACCAGTGCTTCGTAATATCTAGAAATATGAAACAGGAATCAATCAAAACCACCCGACGCACAACAAGAAAGGATGCAAATGTACCATACCTCTAAGGCAGTCTCAATATTGTCCACTGCTATCCCCAGGGAGCCCACAGCAGCGGAGAGCTCCTTCACAGCTCCCTGCTTGATGGCGTCTTCACGAGCTTCATCAATCGTGTGGATGGCGTGTTGGAGAGCTTCCTCAGCAGACGTTCCCTTAACCTTTCCCGCGGCCCCGTTCAGAACAACTAGGGCCTTCGACATGACCTGTATCATGTCGTCCCTATTGAAGAACAGGTAAAATGTAAGTCGTTCTCAAGTAACTTAAAACGCGAGAAACTGTCGGCCTATCTTGTTTGAAAATATATGATTTAATGCAAATCATAATTTTCGAGTCTAGCTACGCGGGTAATCAGCGAACCACAACTAGCTGACCAAATGGCGAAAATAAAACCTATATCATTTGTAGAACGAACCTATTCTCGCTCGCACTTCCTTTCTCAATCTCCGAGTGAATCCCCTCAGCCGCCTTGTCAACAGCGACAGCAGCAGCAGCCATGGACTCGGCACTGCTGGCCTGCTCCACTCCAGACAAACCCTCCAGTAACACGGCCATCTTGTTTTGCTTCTGACTCCCTGTGACAGTTCCACCTCCCAGCGCCTGTGCAAATAGAGGAAAGGTTAGATACAACAGCAAAATGTATGCTTTGCACACAGGGCTAGATTAAGTGTAAACCCTAACCCTGATCCTGACAGCTTGACGCAACTTGTAGCAAAACTCGAGTTATCTAGTCATCCGGATCAAGGATATACATCTGACATGTTTTCAGTCTGATTGAAATGTGCATTTCGTAATACAGAATTGACAAATAATATGTTTTATATTGAACAGAAGAGGTCATCACCTGGAGAACAGAACTTGAATCGGAAGATGTCCCAGCTTTATTGAGAGCGGTGAGTATTCCAAGAAGTTTTTGCCTGTCACTGTCCTTTTCTTGTTCTTTTGCGGCGTCTTCTAGGGCCTCAATAATAAGAGCAAGTGTGTTGTCCCCTGTACCACCGATGTAAGCGACCGAAAAATCTACTGTTGATACAGTGTTGGCCATCTTGGATGTAGATTCCTGTACCAGTTGCCTAAGCTTGATAAGGGCAGCTTCAGGTGATTGTGCAAGGGCCTGCAGCACTGGCAACATATCTGCCGTGTTTAGGTTATTTCTGGCAAACGCAACTCCAAGGAGAAGCTGTTGTTTGTCCACCGACGACATGTGTGACCTTTGCAGGATCACGTCCGCGATAGACTGAATTGTCTGCTCAGGGCGAAGATCTAGCGACTGTCTGATTTGTTGAGATTGCTGGAGGCTTAATATGCCTTTAGTTGATAGAGTATGCGCCATTCCTTGGATCCGGAAGAGAATAGTTGCCTTATACTGCATGATCATGAGAGCTTTGGTGTGTGCCTTTTCTTTGGAAATGGTAAGTGCATTTAAGATATTACTAACATCACGAATGTCAACTTGACGGGGAAAGACGTCAACATTATTGAGTACAGAATCTTCAGCTCCTACGAGACGTAACGCAATCTTAAGTGCACTGCTGGGCTCTTGTTGCAAGGATGACACAAGACGTCGCCCCTGTTCCGCTGTAATGACTCCGTCTCTCGTCAGTTGCTGTAGAATTGTAATGGTCTTCACAGTGATGGAACGTTTATAGATAATGTTAACGATACTGCCTGTAGCGTCGACATCAGATCTGTCAAGTGCGGGCAGCAAAACCTTGATGTAATCTTTGTTGACATGATATGACATGTCATTCACTTTCCCGAGGATTATAAGCTGCTGAGAATTAAAATTAATTCTCTTTTTCAAAATATCTGCGATAGACCTCAACCCAAAATCGGGGGATTCTGAATATGCATTTTTGATGGTCTGATACTCAATGTCACTAATTTTTCCATTTTGTAATAGACCGGACAAAACCGTGTTGAAATCTGTTCCAAAACCAGATGTCGCTGACGCCTGTGCAATCTCACCCGTAACGGTCGTCTCCAACTCTGGAATGGGCTGCATTTCCGAAGTCGAAGTAAAAGAGGAAAGACTGAATGTTTGTCCGGTCTTTCGTCCAAGCGTTTGCGTGATTGTAGAAATTGCCTGCTGGGGCGAGGTTTGCAAGGCTTGCACAACTGAAAAGACGTCTTGACTACCCAGCCTGTCCTTGTTATTTTGCACGATGGTGACCAGACGCTGGCGGTCTGTGTCGGATAGGTCTACTTTCCGTCCCACCACACCTATGATGGTCTGGACGGCGTCGGCTGGAGATGTTTGCAATGCATGGCGGATCGTCGTGGAGTCGTCTTCTGTCAGCCGACCCAGGGTCGTCAAAGTTTGGATGGTGGTCTCCGTTTGCTGAGTAGCCTGTGTCTTCTTGTCTGTGGTCTCCTGGATGACAGTTTGTAATACCTGCATTGCCTTCTGGGGACTTTCTTGTAGTCCAGTCAGGACCTGGCTTATCTGACTTGGGCGGAGATCTCCTTGTACCTTTTCAATGGTCTGTATTGTCTGTAATTGATCGAGGGGAGTTTTGCCAGCTTTGTCGCCCACCGTCTGCACAATTTTCGTCAAGGCTGCCTTGGGTGACTCTTGTACCGCCGTCTGGATGGCTTGTGTCTCTGGTTGTGTCAGGACGCCCTGAAGCTGTGCATTTTGTAAGACAGATTGCACTTGCTGTACTGTTTGTTGCACTTCAACTTGCTGCTGGACCACTTGCTGCGGAAATGAGCCGGTAAAGTGAACACTAACAGGTTGTCCGGTCTTTCGTCCAAGCGTCTGGGTGATTGTAGAAATTGCCTGCTGGGGCGAGGTTTGCAAGGCTTGCACAACTGAATAGACGTCTTGACTACCCAGCCTGTCCTTGTTATTTTGCACGATGGTGACCAGACGCTGGCGGTCTGTGTCGGATAGGTCTACTTTCCGTCCCACCACACCTATGATGGTCTGGACGGCGTCGGCTGGAGATGTTTGCAATGCATGGCGGATCGTCGTGGAGTCGTCTTCTGTCAGCCGACCCAGGGTCGTCAAAGTTTGGATGGTGGTCTCCGTTTGCTGAATAGCCTGTGTCTTCTTGTCTGTGGTCTCCTGGATGACAGTTTGTAATACCTGCATTGCCTTCTGGGGACTTTCTTGTAGTCCAGTCAGGACCTGGCTTATCTGACTTGGGCGGAGATCTCCTTGTACCTTTTCAATGGTCTGTATTGTCTGCAATTGATCGAGGGGTATTTTGCCAGCTTTGTCGCCCACCGTCTGCACAATTTTTGTCAAGGCTGCCTTGGGTGACTCTTGTACCGCCGTCTGGATGGCTTGTGTCTCTGGTTGTGTCAGGACGCCCTGAAGCTGTGCATTTTGTAAGACAGATTGCACTTGCTGTACTGTTTGTTGCACTTCAGCTTGCTGCTGGACCACTTGCTGCGGAAATGAGCCGGTAAAGTGAACACTAACAGGTTGTCCGGTCTTTCGTCCAAGCGTCTGGGTGATTGTAGAAATTGCCTGCTGGGGCGAGGTTTGCAAGGCTTGCACAACTGAATAGACGTCTTGACTACCCAGCCTGTCCTTGTTATTTTGCACGATGGTGACCAGACGCTGGCGGTCTGTGTCGGATAGGTCTACTTTCCGTCCCACCACACCTATGATGGTCTGGACGGCGTCGGCTGGAGATGTTTGCAATGCATGGCGGATCGTCGTGGAGTCGTCTTCTGTCAGCCGACCCAGGGTCGTCAAAGTTTGGATGGTGGTCTCCGTTTGCTGAGTAGCCTGTGTCTTCTTGTCTGTGGTCTCCTGGATGACAGTTTGTAATACCTGCATTGCCTTCTGGGGACTTTCTTGTAGTCCAGTCAGGACCTGGCTTATCTGACTTGGGCGGAGATCTCCTTGTACCTTTTCAATGGTCTGTATTGTCTGCAATTGATCGAGGGGAGTTTTGCCAGCTTTGTCGCCCACCGTCTGCACAATTTTTGTCAAGGCTGCCTTGGGTGACTCTTGTACCGCCGTCTGGATGGCTTGTGTCTCTGGTTGTGTCAGGACGCCCTGAAGCTGTGCATTTTGTAAGACAGATTGCACTTGCTGTACTGTTTGTTGCACTTCAGCTTGCTGCTGGACCACTTGCTGCGGAAATGAGCCGGTAAAGTGAACACTAACAGGTTGTCCGGTCTTTCGTCCAAGCGTCTGGGTGATTGTAGAAATTGCCTGCTGGGGCGAGGTTTGCAAGGCTTGCACAACTGAATAGACGTCTTGACTACCCAGCCTGTCCTTGTTATTTTGCACGATGGTGACCAGACGCTGGCGGTCTGTGTCGGATAGGTCTACTTTCCGTCCCACCACACCTATGATGGTCTGGACGGCGTCGGCTGGAGATGTTTGCAATGCATGGCGGATCGTCGTGGAGTCGTCTTCTGTCAGCCGACCCAGGGTCGTCAAAGTTTGGATGGTGGTCTCCGTTTGCTGAGTAGCCTGTGTCTTCTTGTCTGTGGTCTCCTGGATGACAGTTTGTAATACCTGCATTGCCTTCTGGGGACTTTCTTGTAGTCCAGTCAGGACCTGGCTTATCTGACTTGGGCGGAGATCTCCTTGTACCTTTTCAATGGTCTGTATTGTCTGCAATTGATCGAGGGGAGTTTTGCCAGCTTTGTCGCCCACCGTCTGCACAATTTTTGTCAAGGCTGCCTTGGGTGACTCTTGTACCGCCGTCTGGATGGCTTGTGTCTCTGGTTGTGTCAGGACGCCCTGAAGCTGTGCATTTTGTAAGACAGATTGCACTTGCTGTACTGTTTGTTGCACTTCAGCTTGCTGCTGGACCACTTGCTGCGGAAATGAGCCGGTAAAGTGAACACTAACAGGTTGTCCGGTCTTTCGTCCAAGCGTCTGGGTGATTGTAGAAATTGCCTGCTGGGGCGAGGTTTGCAAGGCTTGCACAACTGAATAGACGTCTTGACTACCCAGCCTGTCCTTGTTATTTTGCCCGATGGTGACCAGACGCTGGCGGTCTGTGTCGGATAGGTCTACTTTCGTCCCACCACACCTATGATGGTCTGGACGGCGTCGGCTGGAGATGTTTGCAATGCATGGCGGATCGTCGTGGAGTCGTCTTCTGTCAGCCGACCCAGGGTCGTCAAAGTTTGGATGGTGGTCTCCGTTTGCTGAGTAGCCTGTGTCTTCTTGTCTGTGGTCTCCTGGATGACAGTTTGTAATACCTGCATTGCCTTCTGGGGACTTTCTTGTAGTCCAGTCAGGACCTGGCTTATTTGACTTGGGCGGAGATCTCCTTGTACCTTTTCAATGGTCTGTATTGTCTGCAATTGATCGAGGGGAGTTTTGCCAGCTTTGTCGCCCAAGGTCTGCACAATTTTTGTCAAGGCTGCCTTGGGTGACTCTTGTACCGCCGTCTGGATGGCTTGTGTCTCTGGTTGTGTCAGGACGCCCTGAAGCTGTGCATTTTGTAAGACAGATTGCACTTGCTGTACTGTTTGTTGCACTTCAGCTTGCTGGACCACTTGCTGCGGAAATGAGCCGGTAAAGTGAACACTAACAGGTTGTCCGGTCTTTCGTCCAAGCGTCTGGGTGATTGTAGAAATTGCCTGCTGGGGCGAGGTTTGCAAGGCTTGCACAACTGAATAGACGTCTTGACTACCCAGCCTGTCCTTGTTATTTTGCACGATGGTGACCAGACGCTGGCGGTCTGTGTCGGATAGGTCTACTTTCCGTCCCACCACACCTATGATGGTCTGGACGGCGTCGGCTGGAGATGTTTGCAATGCATGGCGGATCGTCGTGGAGTCGTCTTCTGTCAGCCGACCCAGGGTCGTCAAAGTTTGGATGGTGGTCTCCGTTTGCTGAGTAGCCTGTGTCTTCTTGTCTGTGGTCTCCTGGATGACAGTTTGTAATACCTGCATTGCCTTCTGGGGACTTTCTTGTAGTCCAGTCAGGACCTGGCTTATCTGACTTGGGCGGAGATCTCCTTGTACCTTTTCAATGGTCTGTATTGTCTGCAATTGATCGAGGGGAGTTTTGCCAGCTTTGTCGCCCACCGTCTGCACAATTTTTGTCAAGGCTGCCTTGGGTGACTCTTGTACCGCCGTCTGGATGGCTTGTGTCTCTGGTTGTGTCAGGACGCCCTGAAGCTGTGCATTTTGTAAGACAGATTGCACTTGCTGTACTGTTTGTTGTGGTTTCGAGTAAGAGAATTCTGGTGGCCTGTTCTGTGCAGTGTCCTGGTGACTATAAATTATTGCAAGTGCTTTAAATATATTCGCCAAGAAAACGTTATCAATGTCTTCCCTGGTAGGAGACTTTGAAGTTTCTGCCATGATTTGTTCCACGGACGGTGCCAGATCAGCTTGGAGACTACTAATAGTTGAGATAATGTCTAGAGCTGAAGGTCGTGGTCTGACAGTTTGACTCAGTGCTGTCGCTAGGTATTTTTGTATTGCACTCTGGCTACTGATACCTTGCCGTCCCATCTTGGGAATGACGATAACCGTTAACGCTTCAGCACCTAAAGCACGTTCAAGAGAATCCACAGCAGACAACAGGTTATTTCGTTGGGTCTGGCCATCGGTTGATTGGAGATCGGCATATACGGAACTAAGTTCCCTTAAGATAGCGTTGTACAGGATGGCTTGTGCTATGGGGGCTGAGTACATTCCTGTGTCATAGATGGCATTCTGTGCAGACCTAGTGCAATCCTGTAACATGCCCTGCATCACTAACTTAGTTGAGGACATCAGGTCATTGTCTCCTCTTGAAGTGATGATGTTTTTCTTTTCCTGTTTGTTATCCTCAACCAGACGATTTCGTATGACCTCCAGGAATGCAAACTTATTCAGCAACCGGTCCATCTCACTCTGACTGTGGTAGGAATGATCGTCACCATGCCCTTTTAAGACAGATTTTAAAAAATACTACATTAAATAGCGTAATTACCTTCGTCAGAAGGTTATGTGTTTAGGTACACCATACATAGGGGTTGCTGATTTGGTAATTGTTTATAACTTGTGTTGTTGTGCATGTATCTTTATGATATTTGGAAGGTAGGATGAGGTTGGATACATGAAGTTCAAGGTCAATTTTGAGTATAGTGGTACTGCAGCGGTCTTCACTTTTGAGTGGAACATAGCTTGGGCAGTAAGTATCTTGTGTGGTTTTTAGCAAAATAGCTGTTTGTTTGGAGCTGCTGTGGTCATGTCTATGACTGAATGTGACTAGACGGGATAACCTGTAATGTTGTGGATATATTTTTTACAGTTTTGTAGGTAGTTTGGAGTGTGAAAAAAGTTTAAATTCGAATTTGGTCATTCTAGTGGCTTCTTAAGGTAATGTAGCGGCACTTTTAGGTTTGACATGCTTCAAATGTAGGTCTAGGTATTTGAGGTTTTGGAATTTTTTTAAACAGATGGGGGCATGACTTAGTCCGGGGAGGGGGGGGGGTAACAAATGGGGGTGTGGTTTGGCAGTAGATTGCTTGTTGTCCTCTGGTTTTATGGGTGTGGTGATATGTTGTAGTGTCAGGACAGAGGAGCGTCTAGTGTGTTCTCTGTTTGTCCCCGGAATGCTGGGATAGGGTCTGTTTGTGCGATTTTGCTATTGACCTAAGCTTGAGGTAAGTTTTTATTTTAAGCCGAAGCTAGAATGGGGATTATTTTTGATAGTATCAACCGGAACGCTGAGATAGGGTTTGTTATGTGCGCTCTTGCTGTTGATATTAATTTGGGGGTAACTGCTCTTTTTAAGCTGAATTTGTTTAATAGTGAATATGTAGGGGTTGATTATGTCAAAATGAGCATCGTGACTATGTTGGAAAATGTCCGTACTCGTGTAACGTGTGTTTCTATACACATCCTTTTGTTCACAAACCAGCAAAGTAAAAGTCAAACTATATACAGCAGCACATCTCTGATAAACCAAGCTCATACATGACGAAGGTATATGAAGTCACCGACCTCTTGTATCATTTTAAATCTAGCTCACCTGTACAGAAAAAAATTTCCTTGACTACTACTGTACAAGGACGGAAAGGCTAAGGAGGGAAAGCAAGCGTTTCCTTTAAACGGAGAATCAAAATAATGCGAAACATATTAAGACGCAAAGAAAAATTACAGGGAGATGGCACTGCTGACAAAAGATGCACTGCTCGTTCACAACACATGGATTTGGTCTTACCTTCAGTATTTTCCTCTTCCAAAATCGTCTTTACGGACTCCAACACGTTGTTCTCATTTACATGTGAAGCACCAGGGTCACTGATGGTCTCATCCCGCTTCCCTGCACATTAACAAATGTTCACAGTGTAAGATGACACAAGCACTGAGACGACAAAACCATCCAAACCAAGCAACCAAGCAAGCAACCAAGCAAGCAAGCAACCAACCAACCAACCAACCAACCAACCAACCAACCAACCAACCAACCAACCAACCAACCATCCATCTATCCAACCACCCACCAACCATCCAAACCGACCAACTTACTAATTAAATCAAACACCCAACCAAGCAACCAATTCAAACATCCACCCAATCAACCAACCAAATTGATTAATCTTTAATGAGGTGCAAAACTCCCACTATATATAAATAAACTTGCCGATGTGGCAAGTTACACATACGCAAAAAAAGAATATAATATAATAGTACCAAAAATGTAAGCTCATGTGTTTTTTTTCTTCTTCCATATCTTCGCGGAAGATTGCTATGCCTTATGTACAATGAAAGGAAAGAGAAATGCTCAAGGAAGAACAGCTATTGTACCATTTGATTCCAAATTTTGTTCATCTGGAAGATCAGACGACGACGCATCTGCCGCCTTGTGCGCTGGGCTCTGTTCCCTTTCCAACTTGATTTGCTTGAAGAGACGGAGGACATGTTGGAGCTTGTCCAGTGTTTCCTGGTGTACCTCGCCATGCCCTGGGATGTCGGCGAGGTCGTCCTTCCTCACTTCAGAGACTCCATGCTTCACACCGTCAAGGTCAGCATCAGAGTTCCGTTCGTTGTTTTTTGTTGCTGCTTCACCTACAAGAAATAGCATTCAAAAAACTAGAGTTCTACGATCTCATACCTTCGCCAAATGATGTTAACCTTTCTGACTGACGGACAATAAATAGTTCTCTTTGATTATGCAAATAATCCGTCTGGCTACATGGACACGTTGTTAGTAACAGAAAATCAGGATAACAAAACAGAGCGTTATTAGTTTGTCTTATTTTCCATTCGATCTCACTGGCCTAAAAGATTGTCATTTACCTACTATGCGTATCAAACGTGAGTGGGTCAGATTTAAATGGCAGAAAAGTGATATAAAATTGCTTATTCTCCTGACTTTACGCACTTAAAGTGGCATTATGTAACGTTTTCGTACCAAAAATTGAAATATTTTGGTAATAAGATTGTAATAAAAGTGTGATTGTAATTTTCTTCCACTTTTTCAGCATATCTTAGTAATATCCTTCATTTCTTGCATTTATGGCACAAACGATGCGCATTCAAGTGACACGGCATGCTGACTGTGCCACAAACTACCAGCATTGATGTTATCAAACATAACTGACACTTCACTGACTTCCAAACACCCCTAAGGGGTCATTTTCTGAAAAACCTCCACTACATAAATGCACGTGGGGTAGGGTTCATTCAACTATTTTTTATAAAGAGATGAACAGAAAGTTAACTTTTTGTATCGTCCTAAGTTCACAGCAAGTAATTTGTATGGATGACATCAAGGATGACATCATGTATGGATGACATCATTGATTTTCGCCTGATTTGGGAAAAAAGAAAAATAGGCAAATATGTCAACGTCTATTTGTTTAGATACACTTTACTACTTGTAAGGGATTCAACAAACTTAGGGTGTGATGGCAAGTGTTGACAGTATAGGGTTTTCCATCTCATATGGGTACCCAGTGTAGTAGCTGCCCATGTTGGTACGGCAAACTCTTTCCTACAATTCTAGAAGTGAATTTAGAAGTGAAGACATCTACAAGGACAGGTAATACTGTTGAATGAAGGACCTTATGTTTATGATAATTAAATAGAATTATTAAATAGAATTCGCCCTGCTATGGATAAAGTATTGCGACCAAACGGCTTTCACCAAGGACTCTTCGACCCCATCTCATATACTTGCACTTAGGCGTATTGTTGAAGAACTGAGGAACTACAACAAGGAAGCTGTTCTTGTTTTTATCGATTTCCGTAAGGCTTTCGATTTGATTGATCGCAAGTTGTTCCAAATACTTGATGCATATGGTATTCCATTAGATGTTGTAAGTGCAGTTAAAGTCATGTATCGTGACACTTCAGCTGTGGTAATCACGATGGAGAGACGGACTGATTCAGTATTAATACTGGTGTTCTACAGGGGACCCCCTTGCCCCATTCTTATTTATTATTTGATTAGATTATGCATTACGGGTAGCTACATGTATCACAGAATCACAGAGACCGATGGCCTAACCCTTCGAAGCTGCATGTCAAACCATTGGACTGTATCTTAATGCGTCAAAAACTAAATTCATTTATTTAAACCCCACATCCTCGGAACAACTCTGTGCTTCCGACGGATCTACAATTGAAAGGGTCACTAACTTTAGATATTTTGGGGGATATACAGATTCCAAACATGACATGGAGGTTACAATTGGGCAGGCATGGAGTGCCATACATTCTCTTCAAAGAGTCTGGAAATCACAGGTCAGGGAGGAAACAAAAAGTGTTTCAAGCTTGTGTTGTTTCAATTTTGTTATACGGCTGCGAGTCATGGAGTATGAACGCCTCCTAGCCGGCCATGTTACTCGGCATGGTGAACCGGGTGGAAAATTGCCTCTCTGGTCTCCGGAAGCAAAGAGGAGAAGAGGCCGTCCATACTCTACACTTAAAGACATTATAGAGCTAGAGACTGGTCTGTATGGAAAAGAACTTGTAGAAATGATGTACGATAGAAAGTGCTGGAAGCTGAACTATGTTAATGCTTCAACTCTCTGAGTATGATTATGTATGATTAGTTATGATTAAGTATGATTGCTTCCTTCCACCCATAAGAGAGAGCATCAGCAGTCGCCACACCCGCTCTTGAAGTAAACTGAACTTACAACGCTGTAGAACTGATCGCTACAGAAATATCGCTATTCCGCACATGACAAGACTGATAAACAATTCATTTTAATGTTCTTGATAAGAGCCTCCATGACCACATGTTGAATAATGGAAGGTTTTAATTGTACAGTTAACGATTTTACTTGTCAAGGACCCTTATACTGTTCTTTTTATCATATATATAACTTTATATGTCTATGCTAGAGTTTATTATGCACACGCGAATTGACTTTTTGTAGTTCGGTGCTTCTAGGGGCGACACCCAGCAATGTTCTTCAAACTAAATATTGCTTTTATCTGTTTTGCCATTTTAACGATTTTAGATATTTTAAGCGAATCAATATTGCCTGCCAATTTGTACACGAGTCTGTCAATTCAGCCTGTTGGCTGCCAAGTGACTTGTCTTTGATTTTAATAATAAACCAGTCTACTACTACTACTACTACTACTACTACTACTACTATGTATTTATGTATGTTTATGACATTAGGTTTAGTTGCCTCAACAAGGTTTATTGTCTCAAAATATGAAAATGTAGGAATCCTGTTTTATTTTTGCCCGTGTTGTTTTTTTCGCCCGCTCGCATTAGATTTGGAGTCCGCGGAGGATGTCATGCTCAAAATTTACTTGCTGTGGCCTAATGTACATATTGTAGCTTAAAATCGATGGCAGGAGTTGCGAACACCAGAGCAACGCTATAATTGCTTCCACCAAACTGACTACAATTCACGTAAGCATGTAGCCCCTACCCACCCCCCACCCCCGTTCATAACAGGGCACTATAGGACAAAGTTTTGTCTCGAAATTTTGGAACTTCTGATTCACTTAACGGGACATAAAAACAAAAAAAAAATAATGCACCACTGTAGAATTTACATTTTTAATTGCATGTCAACCGTTCGCTCGGTCCGTCTTATATTAGAGAGAGGCCGGTATAGAAGACTACCTGTATGTCAAAGAATTTGTAAATATTGTAGTGCAAAGCCAAAGGCTGTGGAAGACGATATACATTTTATTTCAAACTGTTCATTCCATAACAACGCTCGAAATGAGTTGACTATTCAAACTTCTACAATTTCTTCTAATTTCTCTAAACTTACAGACCAAGAAAAAACTATTCTTCTTTTAACTTTCCAAAACTCACAATTTTTGAAAAGATGGGACATTACGTCTTCCATGGTTTACAAAAGAGAAGTCAAACCCTTCAGACATAGTTTTAGACATAGTCATAGTTCTAGACAGATACCTTCATCATGTAGACTTTAGTTATTTTATACTCTATTTCATTGTTCTTTTATGCTTTGTAATTTTCAATTAGCCTCCGGGAACGAATTTGCAATAAACATTTCACTGTATTCTCTCACCATTTCGTCCTGTTCGCTGTTTCGTCGTTCGGACTTTATGGGTTATTGTAACAGTAACGTAAGGACATCAGAGTTCGCCAATGACAGGTATGTTTTGCCCGTTCTCGCCCATTCACTATTTCAGCACACTGAGGAGTAGCTTCTCTGGTTAGGCAGTCAGTACAACGCAATCCCTATCTAATTGTCCAGGGCTCTATGGAGCTCTACCCGCAGGCATTTCATATGTTTTTATTCGTTACACATATTATAATTCCAGTCACGTCCTAGGGTACGCCTCTAAAAGTTGTCTGTACGACAGTTAGCGTTGTCTGCACGACAATTATCTGCAGGGTCATCGTAGAAGTTATCGTAGGTCATAATTTGTCATTAAGTGTTTGTACGTTACGATTGTTTTGAATGTTGTTGTTTTGTTTGTTGTTGTCATATGTGGACCTTCTACAACCATTATATTCTTACAGCTGGGTTCATTTCAGTGTCACAAGAAAGTCTTACAAGTAGCCGATTGTACTCAGTAACAGCAATTTTTAAACTATATTGTGACCCATTTTGCTCCAGTAAAATTCATACAAGCTTTTTAGCGAGATGTATTATTCAAACAAGCTGGCATTCCAGCTGTTTGGTGTTACAAATGACGAGTGCATGGTTCTCCTCTGGAAATGGTTTAACTTCTTACCTATTGTGTGGCGTATGGACACTGTTTTAGCTATTCTTAGATCTTTTATGACAATTCATTTATTTCGAGTCGCGAAAAAGTAGTTGTCATTTATTGATGTGCGAACGTTTAGCTGAACTGCTGCCAGACACTCGCACTAGTAACGTAGATGTTACAGTAGTTGTCTCGAGTGCAGTCAACCGCGAGGGATCGAGGGTGTGCCTTACTTAAGACAATCACACAGTGGCAAATTCTAAAATCCAATGAAATCAATATTAACGTGTATATATTTTCCCGTAAAAATTGTGGTTTTCGTTCAGAAGTTACAGTACCGGTGGCAGAAATATGACATTTCTTCATAAAACTAGTTTAAAGACAGAACGCGGTGATAAAGTAGTCGACCTTCGACTGGAAGAGGTTGTTTTCAGTGCCGGCGGCAGGATAGGGCACTAGCATCGGTCACTATGAAAACTGTTTTTAGGACACAACAGAATGGTAAAGTGATCGACCTCACACCGAGGACGAGTCATAACGCTTTTTTTAATAGCTTGAGAATTGTTATGAATCAAGTTTAAGCTGCAATTTCCAACACAACAAATTGGACTCACTCAAATTTTCGACTGTACAACTCCAGTCTTTCTCAAGGAATGAACAAAAATTTGAGTGAGTCCAATTTGTTGTGTTGGAAATTGCAGTTTAAATTTGCTTCATAATGATTTCTACCAACACAGATGAACTTTCAAGATAAGCGTGAGAAGTGATTTGCAGCGTCTCGCTTTCAGCTGGGTGCAGCGGGTCAACACTACGCGAAACCTTTGTTTAATGTCCACTATGTACCAAAAGGAAATTCTGGTATTGTCTTATTGTTTTCTTGTCCCATCCTTGTCCAACGCTTGAGTACACACTGAAATTATTCATCGTAGAAATCTATGAACCCAAGTCTTCGAGACCCACCCCTTTTCTTAAAGGACCAGAAGGATCAGGACAATTACAGTAGATCGGACAACATAGTTAGACCTGGTAACGTACCTTGGTGTTGGGAGACACTCAGAAGTAACCCGGCCACGCACAGGGTCCAGAACAGCGGGGCTGCCATGGTCCACCCTCGCGGTCCGCAGAAAACTGTCTGACTCTGCTGTAAGTTTGCAGCTACAGACAAAGTGACCTGTGCGACCCGACCCTGACTAAGTCTTAGCGAAAGTTGTTAAGCCGGATCCCCGTTTCACCCTCTGGCCATGGCGCTTGGTGAGTCAGGCGTCATATGTGTGACCTTAAGCGACCACGTGCACGTCGCATGTCTATCACTGTCACACTGATGTCGGGCGGACTTACTCTAATGTAATGTTCGCCGGTGTCTGTGCTTCGTATATCCTCGGCACTGCATCAGTTAGGAGTTTGAGAGACCAGCATACAGCATAAACGGAGCCTGCCCGGCAGGGTTCGGCCGTTGTCACTGTGCTGTGTAATGATCAGTACGGGATCCGCAGTTTTTAGGGGTCGGCGAATGTTAGCAGATCACTGGTCTATGTTTCCAATTCAGCAATTTTCACAGGGCGTTTTAAGGCAGTAGAGCTCAGAAATAGCTGGCCCGTGTAGCGGTGGATCTATATGCGAGTTTCTAGATAGCTAGTGATTTCTGACCCTTTTCCAGCTTCAAACATCGCACGACGTGGGGGGAGGGGTGTGTGCTAAAACTGGTTATGCAAGCCTTAGGGCTTCGTATAATATTGCAACGCCCCCTGTCTCAGCAGGCCTACGGTTTGGTGTGTGTGTGTATGTGTGTGTGTGTATGTGTGTGTGTGTGTGTGTGTGTGTGTGTGTGTGTGTGTGTGTGTGTGTGTGTGTGTGTGTGTGTGTGTGTGTGTGTGTGTGCTCGTGTGTGTGTGCTCGTGTGTGTGTGTGTGTGTGTGTGTGTGTGTTATGAGAGTTCAAACCTATTTAACTTCTGTCCGTCAGAAGGAACTATCTGCCAGCCGACAGCCACAGCATGCCACAAAAGACCATAAAAAGCCGGTACGGTTTCTATAATCAATATCTCTTTATGCTGTCTACTCACGAACACTGATAAAAAATCCACAAACAGCACGACAATATAAGCTGTACTCCAATGACATTATATTGTAAAGGCTTAAGATTATTCATTAATCATAACTATGGCAGCCAAATGCTGCATTAATCTTACTTGTACTTAGCATGTCAGGGGAGAGATTGCGACCTGACAGAATGGTTGGCTCTACGTAGAGATCCCGACTGTGATCATTGTCAACAGAGACTCCGATCAGGATGTTGCTAATGTGTTAGGGTGTGGTCTTCTATTTACAAATCATAAATTGCAAGTCAATCCATTAATCTTAGTAACATGAATAGTTAAAAAATTCTGTATGTCTTTTAGGCGAATGTCTCCAATAGGGGCAGACTCCAGTTGGGGTCTCTACTGGTAGAACCGAGTTTCTGCTCTGACATAAATATTGTTATGTAGGACACTTTTTATTTGTTTTGACGACAATCATTATGATTTTTTGGGCATTTCATAATACATAGCACGAGCTGTAAGGGGACATCGAACAAAATAATAGTATTGATAAGAAATCTAAGAAGTGATAAATGCTGATAATATAACATTATTTCCCACAGATGTTGATCTAAAGACATTTACATCCACTGTTCTAATCAACAGTCTTCATACAGTCACATTTGTCGAAGGGCATCCCTCGTGTTCTTTTTTGACCGGGGTTCTTTTCGTATCTTCAATCAGATCCACTTGGAAGCAGGTGACGATCAATTGGCCAACCAAGAAAAGCGAAGAGAAGTTGGATTTATTTACATAAATATATAAATACATACGATAGGTTCACCTGTATCGGTTAACTATCTGTTCATCATGTTTTGTTGTGACCTGTACTCGTACATACCCCAGTGTGGCAAAAATGCGCGATCATCCTTGCAAAGAGGTTCACGAACTACAAGTCAGCACTGGAGATGTTACAACTACAGACTCTCGAAGATCGTAGAATAGCCCTTTGCAGACGGTTTGCGAACAATATACAAGCTTCTACCCTCTACCGACACTGGCCGCCCCAAACCAGGGGTAGTATCAGTGGGAGGATGACGAGACAACAATCAAAACTTGACCAATTGCCAGCGCGCACAGAGCGGTACAACAGAAGTACATTACCGTACCTTGTTCACATTTTAAATCATGAATAGTCTGTGAAATGTATAAAGGTTGTAATTCATTATTCATTGTTCACCACTAGCCCCCGGAGCGGCTAATTGTGACAGGCGGCTAATATAAACTCCCCTTGTCTCCGGGAATCTCCTTGGAGATTACTAAAGTGAGGGACGATCTACCCCGACACTGTGAACAGGTCGTCAGTCTCCCAGGCCAAGGACACGTAGGACCACTTCCGGTAGGACCCAGGACGACCTTTGGGAGAAGTCTGCACGTCATCGGCGTCAGGATCCTACAACGTAAACAACACGCAGACTAAGAAATGGCTTGATGGATTTTGTTTTAATTCCAACATTTCTTGACCAAACATGGCGACGACACATTCAAGTTATATCAACTTATTTTATGCCGCCACCAACACAAAGTACAAATACGGGACATGACAATACTCATTTTCACTTGAGCTAAGTGAGGAAAGTTGTGTTAAGTGCCTTTCCCAAGGGCACAAGATCCGTGGCATGTCAGGACTCGAACTCGGGACCTCTTGGAACTTGGGAAAAGCACACTTCTACTGAAATCACGTAGATATAATATAAATAATCATAATATAGAAACGTCTCCGGTACGACTTTGCAAAAGATATATGCTACCATTTAATGGGGTCGTGTGGCGCAACGGCGCGACTCGGAATCAAGAGGTCCCGGGTTCGAGTCCTGACATGCCACCGATCTTTTGCCCTTGGGAAAGGCACTTTACACGACTTTCCCCACTAGACTCAAGTGAAAATGAATATTGTCTGTCCTGTATTCTTTTCTACGTGCGGGACACAACACTAGCAACAGCTACCTCTGTTCCGCCTGTATTGCACTGTTGCAATTTCAATAAATCAAATAAGAAATCAATCAAATACTATAAGTATTAGGATGAATAAGTCCATTCATGGCGAACCGTCTCTTTGTAAATTCTGCACAATATGAGTCCAAACAGCTGAAGGCCTACGTCATTTGAACATAATCCTGTGCTTTTGTCAAGACTTAAAGTATGTCCATCTCTGGATGTTTCATGGCTTTGGGCTGACTGCCGTGTCACACACGGAGGCAGATTTCTTTATGCCTACCCTGTCCTTCTTACCAACCGGTCAGGCCGAGGGGCTGGAGAGTTTCTTAAGAAACGAAATCAAAATCGGTTGAAATCCGTACCCAGCTGCCATCACTGTCCAAATTGTTCATTATCATTTTGTAAAACGCTGTCAGGTTAAAAACCGAACGAAACCTACTGCAGTACAAGTATTCTGCTCAGTTCTTTTTCTTAATTGTTTAACGGTGACATGTCAGAAAAGAAAAATAGTAACAGGAAGGATTCAGACTGATACACACGACGAAAAGCTTCAAGTACAGAAGTTTTTAGATGACATCCGCCATCTTTCTTCAGCTGCTAAAGAAGGTAGCCACGTGACCAGGAGGTTAGAAGGTCAACACAGGTCACGTGCCTGTATTTGAAAAGGGCTAGTTTCAAAATTCATTACGTACAATGCAAGGCGAATAACATCTTGACCTTATTCCTTACCAAGTCTTGGTCTTTCTCCTCAGCAGAGTCGCTTGCGTCATCGATGTCGTCACTGTTGATGGACACCTTGATCCCCGCACGTCCTTGTAGTCAGACTTGTCCTGCAGAGCCTGGTCACAGTCGTTAAAACAGCTCCGTGAAGCTCGGGCGGCCGCCCGGCTCCCATTCCCAGCACCGACACATCAGATCATAGCTGAAAGATGACCAAGACTGGCAATGAAAACATACACTGCCATGGCGACGGTGGTTGCTGTTAGGGTTATTGTTTGCATGGCACTGCCATCATTTCATGATTTTGAGGAAGACTTGGTACATGTTAAGTCTAGACAGATACACTGTACTCCTCCCCTGAGTGTATAGTAAACGAGCCCCTGGGTCACAGAAAGAAGGGTCATCCGGGCAGAGAGGTCTTCCAAAGGGTTTCCAGGAATGTGGGCATAGATGTGGGTCAAAGAAATGCCCGTGGACATTCCATTCCTGTTGACAAAATGCCTGTACAATTCCTAGAATTCTGGCAAACTGCAGACAATACTGTACCATTAGGCTCCTCCCTGAGACTTCACCAAAATACGTATGGATTAATCATTGTCTAATCATAACGACTTAAAGCTTCATATTCTAATCAAGAATGTATGCAAACCATCATCATGAGAAAGAGAAGACAATGGATAAAAAATATGCTGAGAGAAGACCCGAATGACTTTAACAAGAACAGCACTACATCGGACACCTGAATGGAAGAGAAAACAAGGGCAGCCTAAGATCACTTAACGTAGAACAGTTATGAAAAACTAAAGAGCTTCAGCCACACCTTGGATACCATCCAGAGAGTAGCCCAGGACAGAGGGAACTGGAGAACCTTTGTTGCTGCTCTACATGCCGGGACTGGCATTAAGGGCAGTGAGTAAGTAAGTAAGTAAGTAAGCATTCCAATCCTAAAACCATTTGAAGAGTTAGACCGCATCAATACCCTTCACCTACTTTTCAATCAAACATTTTGCCCCTGACACACATAGCTGACGATGGTCTCTCGACCTCTCCCAACCTCCAAAAACCATGGTTGGGAGCATTTCTCATTGACATTGACAAACCAGGCCAGGATTTGCATGATCTGAATTCATTAATGTTCCTCTCGAAACCAAGTAGAATGTTATCAGTATTAGGTTCGTACCATTTATCCCAATTGAAATATAAATTTCCTCATTGGTAATGCAAATCAAGTTCCAATTTGCATAATTTACGTACCATAAAAATTCATTCATCTTTTTAGTTATCCTTCGTCAAAGTCTACAAGTAAAACAACGCCCCTGCAGTTCCAAAGGAAGCTGCTAGGGGTCCAATACGCATGTCACTTCTTTCCACTGCAGTTCCAAGACAAAATCTAGA